GGTTACTGGTAACACAGATCTCTGATGAATCTTAGATAGGAAAAGTTATGAGAAGAAAACATTGCTAAATAGTATAACAGATAACAACAACTGTTTCATGCCATGGGATTTTTAATGCCTATGCCATCAGACAGACAGATATCTTCTCAGTTTAAAACCTCATTCGAAGCCCAGCAACTCTGGCAATTCAGCGCTTCCCCAGAACTGAACTGGAGTGTTAGCCTGGACCAAGTCTGGGGAATAATATACAAAAAAGGACAGGTTATTTTGAGGCACTGGACTGTGAATCAGTTCTGTTGCTGAGCCACACCTCCTGCCATCACTCCTATTAGCTGAATGCTGAGGCGAGAGATTTTGACTAGGTCCATTTTGTGAGTGATGTGGGAAGAGGAATGTCCTAGCGTACAATGTTATGGTGATTTTTGAAAAGTTAAGCACTGGAACTGAACAAAGAGCAACAGCCATGTGGCAGCAGTGAAACACTGAGCATTGCATTGTAGAGCAAGCAGAATAGCTTTAACCCAGTAATAATAACATCCATCTGGCTTTGCGCTTATCAGATTTTTATGTACCTGGATCTCGCAGTACAAAGCCCTCACGTTATTTTTGTCAACATGCGCCATTACTCAAGTATAATTCCTGCTGCTTTCTATTAAAACAATAGTTATTTCTTATGACTTGTAAGGTGGCAGCTGGCTGTAGCTGCAGGGTCTGTTCTTTATGAAGATCCATTTTCAGTCTTTCTGAAGCAATTCACTTACTGACGGCTCATGTACTAAGTCAAGAAAAGTCCACTGTGATCTTTGGTTATTGCTCATTGATGAATATTTGCCTGAAATTCAAAAGCAAGGGACCGTAAAACTTCACTAGGTAATGAGTCTTTGCTAATGTTCCATGAATGGCAGCATTTTTCAATATATATAATGTATTAAGTGTTAACCTAAGTGTAAACTAATACCACCCAAAGGGTATTCAGGTGAAACCAGTACAGTGCTGTGCTAAGAACAAGGTAACAAGAATGCTTGGGTTGCAGGCTCTATGCTTAATGCACTACTGTATTTGACATAACATTGGAATTCAGATTATACCTAAACTGAATCCTGACATGTAAAATAGAAGAAATCTTGGCTGATTTCTGTGTGCTGAATTGGTTCTAATTCAAGCTAAATCCACCTTGTGGATGGTTTAAACAAAGTGTCCAAAATCATTCTGCTGTGCTTCGCAGGATTTACTGTAAAATGCAATGAATGTATATTTATAGGTGAAAGAGGCAGCTGGTTTGCACACAGCAATGTCCCACAAGCAGCCCTGAAGCGAATAATCAGTTTTGTTTTGAGGATTGTTATATTAAGAGGAAAGTGGGAATTGAAAACCTACCTTAACCTACCTTAACACCTATCTTTTTGACTGCACTTTTGGTAATTTAATTTTTCGCTCCCTCTTTGGCTGTTATCCCATTTATTTCTATCCCATTCCCACAGCTCAGACTCCCAATCAGCTGTGTGAAGTCCTTTGAGACTTCCACTTGACATGAAGGGTGCTATACAAATGTAAATTGTTGCTGTAGAGATACATTCAAGTACAGTATTATACAATCCCTACTTTCCTCTTGGAGTATTCCTCTCCAATATCCAGAATCCCTACAGCTTCCATCTTCATCCTCTTGAACAACTACACACAGTGGTTAGAGCACTCGCCTCGCAAAAGGGACCTGGGTTTGCTTCCCGGTAGGGCAAAACCTTGGGCAAGTTTACTTGCTCCACATGCCTGACAATAATCCCTCAAGAAAAAAAACAATAATAATTTGGTCACTCAATCCACGACTGTTTGTGGGACACTGCTGTGAGCAATTAGCTGCTGCGTTTCGCCCACAAATATACAGTCAATTCACTTTACAGTATATTCTGTGAAGTGCTTTGAGACATCCAGAAGATGTGAAAAACGCTATATCAAATGCAAAATTATTATCTCTTAATGTAGCTTCAGCTGTTTAAGGTTTGGGTAGCCAACACCTGTTACTCTCTGAGACCTTCTGTTAAGTGTTAGTTTTGGCGAGGAACAAAGGAGCAGTGTGAATTGAGCCACTTGTGAAGTGAGACACTATGGTTTCAACAAATAAAACATTACCTGCATGTAAATCTGGCAAGGGGACCTTCTGACTCTAAGGCAAGTGGTACAAACTGACAAATTGTTTGGTTGTAGTTTATATGTAGTATTTTTTGTACCACTGCGTTGCTTCCAGGTTTCTTTAGTTATCCTCAAATACTTTTTATGTGATTCTGAATCCTTGCTAGTTTTTTAATCTTATTCTTTAAAACAATTATTGGATCTGTTTTTTCTCTCCCTTCCTGAAGGTGTTTGACTTCCCCTTCTAACTGACGCATGATTCCTACTGTGGTAGGAGATACAAGAGTGGTATGCACCTACTAGCAATTTGCCCAAGTTCCTGTTATTTATATGTGAGCCTTGTCTATGAGTGTTGTGGGATATTTGACCGCAATAAGCAATTGGGCCTGACTTGAGTTTCATACAACTTCCAGATAACTGCACTTTCAACAAGGATTACTGGCTGATTTTTCCTTCTCTAACCCAAGATCCTGAGGCTGGTTTTAGACTCCCTTGTGCCCTCTCCCCCTGCTGCAATCGGAGATCCGAAAGCTCAGCACAGACCAGGTATTAAACCTGAGACTATCCCAGTCTGTATTACTCCAGAATAACCTCGTTGAGCCACCAAGGGAGGCGCTGGGTTGTTTCTGACATCCTTAAGCAGCCACTGGAGACTTAGTTGTGGTATTTTTCTCCTCTTCTGATAGGGATGTATTTCCTTTCTCCAATCCTTCCAAGTGCTATTAGAAACAGCTGGGCTATTTCAGCCACTGCTGGAGGTTATCCAAATACCTCACATAGCCCATTAGGCCAACACCAGACCTTTAATTCCGTTTTACTTTGAGTTATTCTGCATGTGTGTTTGCGTCCCTCTTTATCTCTTTCTGTCTTTGTCTCTTTATCAATCCTTTTGTGTTTTTCTTACTTTCCTATCGCTCCCAGTCCACTGTACAATCTTTCTTTTACAAAAATGCAACTTGGCTTCATGATCAAAGTGAGGGAACAAAACATTTTTTGACAGATGACTTTCAGGCATGCCTCTTATATTGTACGCTGCTTTGAAGTCAGTTCATCTTGTTTTATTGTACATGCACAAATGGAATTTGGTGAGATAGGTTATCTCGGTGCAGCGCACATAGACAAAATGTGTGTGAAGATGGATGGTGAAAATGTTCTGTTGTTTGCCATCATTTCAGTTACCTGACTTTTTATGTTCACGAAAGCAATGTTTTGGGGAGGGAGAGAAGCCTAGAGATGGAACCAGGAAAGTGTTTCACATCAAGCTGTTATATATCAGTAACATTCCTGGAGGCAGGCATAACACTTACATTTTAACCTTTGGTGTAACTTTTTAATGTGGATATCGTATAAAAACTGTTGGTTTCCTTGTATTTTCTTTTCAGTTTCATCCTTTCTATGAACTGCCTATGTTCCAGAGGACAGGCAAATGACCTGCTCCTAGGGCCCAACTAATCCACTTTAGCAACCAGATGTATAACAGCCAGGGTGACCCAACCTGAGTCTCGATGGGAATGCAACACTGAAAGCGGCATATCAAGCATCAGGAGTACCCCATGTGGGAATCACGATCGTGAACTCCTACCGTAATGTTACATGGCACAGTGGTTCAATGCTTGAACATGCCAACTACCCCCACCCCTTCGATACACACGTAGATGATTAAAGGATACAAAGATAAAAGATCTTTATTTTAAAGTATCAATACTTTAAAATAAAGTTATTACCTCATGTATATGTTTGGATCTACATGAAGTAAATCCAAACATCTACATGGATTTACGTTGATGCTCTAAGAGTTAAAGTTTTTCAAGATTCATAAATTCACAAGATAGTGAGTAGGGAATACAAAAGCTATAGAAATGGGTAAGTGAAGCCAGAGGAATTCCAACAGTTTTGAGATCCAGGGAACATGTTGGCAGTGCTCAGGACAAGATCAAACAGCTAAAAAGTGCACATTCGAACATTTTAGCAGGAGTTGATGCAACAAATACGAAGAGAACAGTTTTTTTTATTTCCAGTGTCTCTTCACTTTCATCGAAATATTCACTGAAGTGGAACTGATGGCACGCAACTTACCTTGGAAAAGATTTGTCTTCTGGCACACAGGATTAATTTCCTGCTTTGTGGGATATCTTGTGTACTTTTGATATTTGCCCTATTCTCATGTTTATTGCTTCTAACCCTTGATTTGGAACGTATTAGAATGGGACTTTCATTTTAACTGATAATATCTAAAATACTGCCTGCAGTCTAACTTGGTTAATACAAAGAGAAAGGAGTTTTGGCAAGCACTATCAAACGCACAAGGGAAGGGATGCTTTTGCTCATGTATTGAGTGACTGGTATGTTGATTCTATTTTAAACACATAAATTTAAGTTTGAAAGACAGAAACCTGCATTTTTATAGTCCTATCATCTTGAAATGCCTCAAAACATTTTACAATTGCTATCAAGTGTAGTAACAAGTTGTTTTGAAGAAAAACGCGACAGCCAGCAAGCTCCTATAAACAGCCATCAACGGACTAACCAATTAATCCTGTCATTGGGAGAATTTCCCTTCTCTTGTTCTAATAGTGTCAAGGGTTCTCTAATGTCCATCTGAAATGGCAGAGTTATAGAGCTGTACCTTGTTAGCACAGATCAAACTATTCAGAATGGAACTTTGATCCAGACTTACAAATGTTCAAGGGGAACCTTTCTTTACGCACAGTTTACCCAGTCCTTTGACCTACTTGTTTGATCAAAAAATGTTAAGACTATAGAAGAAAGTCTTTCTCTTTCCATGCTGTGCTGCCTTGATGTGCCGAGGCAGCAACAATTCCCGTCTCTTTGCTTTTCTTTGCTTCTCTGATGGTTATCTCTGTGGTTTGCAGGTGAGCGCCCCTACCAGTGTCCCTACTGTGACAAAGCCTTCAGCAAGAATGATGGATTAAAGATGCACATTCGAACACACACAAGGGTAAGAACTGCTCATCCTTTTAAGTGAGGAGAGAGATGGACGGTGGCTGAAGAATAGAAAACGCAGACTGTTTTTGAAACTAAAAAACTGCATGAATGTATTATACCAGCTACTTTATCTACAGAAAAGTTTTTGTAACACTGAATTTCTGGTTCCCTTTGAAATACTACAAACACCAAATACATGGCATTGAAGCAGCTGTTTAGTTTATTCATGTCATAAATTGCCAGCGCCTCAGCACCTCAGGCTCTGGCAACATCAATCTCCATGGTTGCACACTACAACTCACCAAGCCAGTCAGGAACCAAGTTCGACCCTCAACTGTCTTTTCTCCCCCACATTCAAGCCATGACCCACTCTGCCTTCCCTCAACTCCGTAACATCACCCGACTCCGCCACCAGCACACCCTCAGACCGCTGAAACTCTTGTTCATGCCTTCATCACCTTCAGGCTCAACTATGCAAACACCCTGCTTGTCGGCCTTCCCAACTCCTCCCTCCACAGGCTGCAGATAATCCAGAACTCTGCAGCCCGTGTTCTCTCCCGCACCAAACTCCGTGACCCCATCTCCCCCACTCGCCCGACTCCATTGGCCCCTTATCCTTCAGAGGATCCAGTTCAAGTCACTCCGCCTCGCCCCCTCCTTAGCCTCCTTCAAGTCCCGCCTCAAGACTATCCTCTTCAATCATGCCATCAGTCACCCCCCTTCCCCTCCCTTACCCCCCCCCCCCCCCGACCCCAGCTCGGGTCTGAAATGCTGTACTCTGTCCAGCGCCTTGGGACGTCCTCCTGACGTGAAAGGCGCTATCCAAATGTAATCTTGTTGTTGCTGTTGTTGTTTAAGTAGCTCATTGACCAGTTGAGCAATATGCTTTGCACGAGTTCATATTATTATTATTCGGAACTAATTAAACCACTTATGCATATTTCGGAAAGATGACAATTCATCGTTCAGTCTTAAAATTTGAGCTATTTCAAAACCCTCTGCCTGCTTTACACACCTGACTCAGTAAAAAGAGCTCCAAGGTTTTAGAAACCCTTTAACATGGCCACTGTGGTTTACACAGATTTAGGGTTAAAGGTGACATGTTTGTGCCACTGCCCTTTGTAAAGCATGTGCAAAGAGGGAACTATTGTTATGTAACTGCCAATGAAAAAGATTGGTTATTATTTAAACCATCAATAAATCATATTTACTTATTATTTACAAAATGATGGGAACCCATAACCAGGGCTAATAGAAAATTGTGGAAATAGTTGCCAAAAATTGCAGAAGCGCTACACTACAACAACAAAATTACATTTCTATAGCACCTTTCACATTGGGAGGATGACCCAAGGCATTGGACAATTAATGTTTCAGACCTGAGCTGGGATTTGGGATCGGGGAGGGTGGAGGGCAGGGGGGGAAGGAGGGTGACTGAAGGCACGGTTGAAGAGTTGAAGAGGAGGGTCTTGAGATAGGTCTTGAAGGAGGCAAGGGATGAGGTGAGGTGGAGTGTCTGAGGGATGGAATTCCAGAGGGTGGGGGCAGAGAGGCTGAAGGCCCGCCCGCCAATGGTGGGGAGTTTAAGGCGGGAGACGTGAAGCAGGCTGGAGCCCACTGAGCAGATGGAGTTGGCAGGTTGGTAGGGTGTTATAAGATCACAGAGGTAAGATGGAGGAAGACGATAGAGGGCTTTGAAAGTGAGGACCAGGATCTTGAACTGTATCCTCAGTGTGATGGGAACCCAGTGAAGTTGGGCGAGGATGGGGGTGATAGCGGAGCCTGGTGCAGGAGTGGACACGGGCTGCAGAGTTCTGGATGATCTGCAGCCTATGGAAGGAGGAGTTGGGGAGGTGACAAGCAAGGAGTTTGCATAGTCCAGCCTGAATGTTATGAATGTGTGTACAAGGGTCTCAGCGGCCTGCTGTGTGAGGCAGTGGCAGAGCTGAGCAATGTTGCGGAGGTGGGGGAAGGCGGAGCAGGTCATGGTACGGATGTTGGGTATGAAGGACAGTTGAGGGTCAAACATGACACTGAGGTTCCGTATTGGTTCTGTGAAATGTAGAGTGCATCTATGGTAGGAGATGCTGTCAGCGCTTGAGGTATGGAGGCGTTGACAGGAGCCAAGCAGGAGGTCTTGTTGATATTCAACTGCAGGAAGGTAGCTCTCATCCAGGACTTGATGTCCAACAGGCATTCTGTGAGGACAGCAGTGGTCCTGGAATCGAGGTTGGAGGCAGAGAGATAGAGTTGGGTGTCATTGACATACATGCAGAAGTTGACCCCATGTCTGCGGATGATATCACCAAGAGGGAGCATATACATATTGAAAAGGAGAGGTCCCTGAGGGACGCCACACGGATGGTGTGGGGGCTGGAGAAGAAACCCTTAGTGACGACAAAGTGGAGATGGTGGGAGAGGTAGGATTCAAACCAGGCAAGGGCAGGGCCACGAAGATTGAGCTGAGAGGAGAGGAGGTGTAGGAGGTTGGAATGGTCGACAATGTCGAAGGCAGCAGAGGGACGCGATGACTCATTCCAAGGCCTTGAAAAGGAATAGGAGATAATAATAATAATAATCCTTGCATTTGATATAGCGCTTTTCACGTCGGGAGGACGTCCCAAAGCGCTTCACAGAAGACACTGTAAAGTGAATTGACTGTATATTTGTGGGCGAACGCGGCAGCCAATTGCGCACAGCAATGTCCCACAAACAGTCGTAGATTGAAAATGACCAATTTATTATTGTTTTTGGTTTTGGAGGGATTATTATTAGGCGTGTGGAGTAAGGAAACTTGCCCAAGGTTTCGCCCTCCCTGGAATTGAACTCAGGTCTCTCGCTTGCAAAGCGAGTGCTCTAACCACTGAGCTACAGGACTCCACAAATAATAATCCTTGCATTTGATATAGCGCTTTTCACGTCATCTAGACGTCCCAAAACGCTTCACAGAATATACTGTAAAGTGAATTGACTGTATATTTGTGGGTGCGCACAGCAATGTCCCACAAACAGTCATGGATTGAAAATGACCAATTTTTTTTTATTATTGTTTTGCTTTTTGGAGGGATTATTATTAGGCGTGTGGAGATTGGAGATAGGGCAATAATTGGAGAATAGGGATAGGTCCAGGGAAGGTTTTTTGAGGATGGGAATGAAGACAGCTGATTTTAGGGGGATGGGTACAGTGCCAGTGGATAAGGATACATTAATCCGTGCATAATGTAAAATGGGTTTTTGTGACTTTTGAAAAATTCTGTCTGAAGTTTCTTACATGGTTATGCACTGGGGATTTGTTTTGATAAATAATTTCACTCCACTCTCTACCTACCCCCTTGGCTTAGCTGGTTACGGCCTCCTGCACATCCCTTGTCCCCTCTGCTCCACTATCTGCGGCTGTATTTTCAGCCACTACACCTCGAGACTCTGGAACTTTCTGCCTCACTCCCTCTGTCTTGCCCCTCCTTGCCCATCTTCAAATCACACCTGAAGATCTTCCTATTCGACCATGCCTGCATGACTTTCCTTCTCTCCCTGGCTTGGTGTCAAGCAAACCTATGAGGACTCTACTCCACATAACAAACATTTTTATTCAGTGAAAAGTATATTTTCACTGACCTCTAGTTATGTTATTTTTAAGGTTACTTTGTAATGCTCATCTAAAGGACATTGAGGCAGTAATAGGAAACAAGAGAAATGTTGGAAAGATGAAATAAAGGGAGAAATTGCTGGATGTCAAAAGTGGGCCATTCAGCCATTGAAAGAAAAATAGATTTTTGTTTCAGACACGACACTTCATCAAGAATGAGACAGAACATTCACCAAATTTTGAAATCACAATGAATGATTCTGTGCACTTCAGGTTTATTCAGTATTTATCTTTCAGGGCAGATGTTACCTTTCTAGAATGTTCAGTTACTGTCTTGTGTGTTGTCTGCCCTTTTCATGTTATGTTCTCTGGACAAACAACTAAGTCCTTGAAACAAATCACTGCACTTGCTGAACATCAAAGCTGAGATTTCTTGGTTTCCCTCTGTTGTCGTCTCTTTATCAATATCTACAGCAAGACTTGCTTCAACTATTGCATTGTTTCTTGTTTGCTGGGTCCTTGTATAGTTCGTTCATCAGTGGAGGTAACAAACAATGCAAGATGTCCCTACATAATGTACTGAACTGCCATTATATTTTGGTTCATCGCTTGTATTTTGCTATTGGAACATGTTTCAGTTTGGTTATTTTACATCCCAGTTTTGTATTTGTTTGTATTCTCTCTACTTGTGCCCTATGATCTTGTCGTATCGTCCGTTCCTTCATTGCCAGTGATACTACCATTGGAAGGGAATTTTTTTTGTCAGCTGGGTGTCTGACTCATGCAGAAACACATCACTGTGCTTAAGAATCTCTAAACCGATCTGAGATTTCCATGCATCCCACCTGCACGTGGAAATCCAAGAAATAGATTGTTAAAATGGGATGTGCTCCCACTCCCTGGAGGGAAGCATCCTTCTTACCTAATTCCAGAAAGTTTTTGGCGCAGGTTGGCAAGGCTTGGGGTTTCCAGAGCGTGCATTGGGGTATTGCTGGAATCTTAACAGCTCAAACCATATAGCTTGCCATTAATGATGCTGTCAGACAAGTTTTCCCGCTGCTTGTCCAGCTAGGACTCGTTAGACCTTTGGCTTGCAGGGTTAACCGTAGCTGAGTGGGATGACTCCTTGCCCCCAGTGACTGGTGGTCTGCCCTTCCTGCCCTGGAATACTCGGACCTGCCTGGTTCAGGAACCGAACTATCGAGATTGTCATAAAGTGCTGGCTCGATTTCGATATTCTGTTACCTGGCATGTCACCTAGGAGCCAATTCAGCTCCAAGGAGACCCCACTTACCTCTTGCCAAGGAGGATAGTCACTAGTTGGTTGTTCGACATCCGACAAGTGCAGATTTGAGCCCTAACTAGGTGGAACTCCCTACAACGTTCCCAGTGGGCAACGCATCTCAGTACTATAGGAGTATAGTAAT